GTTCATTGATTAGTCCTCTGTAAGTAAACTGACGCGTTGATTGCTTGTTGCTTGTGTACGCTTACTGGTGTGGAGGGAGGGTTGGGGGGGGGGGGTGCATAGGATTGATCGCATCTCTGCCCTCCCCTCCCCCCCCCCGCGTCCCCCTCTTTCTTTTCCCCCCCAATCTCAACCCGAGCGGTATTTGGTTCAATCTCCTGGCGTGCATTCGGTCGGTGTTTGTTTTGCTGAGCTGAATGTTTGCGCGAAGGGGAACGAGAATAGAACGGCGGTAAGGAAGGTCGGATCGCTGGATGTACAAAAATAATAAGTATGCCTGGTAGTCTTGAATGGATCACAACCGGTTAATCAACGAACCAATCAACCAACCAATCGACGAACCAATCTAGCTCAGCGAAATAATCGGTGAACCTGGTTTATTCGTTGGCGTTTCAGTCAGCTGATTGGGCGACTCGATTTGATTGATGAAAAAAATGTATTCACTGTATAGTTCAGTTGTAGGTTATCTCATTGGTTGATCAGGCAATTACCCATGTAAGTAGTCAGCTGATTGTGGATGTCAGACGTTTATCGACTGACCGATGGCTGGGTTTTATCAGACGAAATTTATCGCAATTACCCTTCCTCCCTTGACCCCTTCCTCCCCTCCCCCCTCAAGCAGCAAGGAAAAAAAGATATGAAAACTCTCTTGATTGTTCTCTATAGTACGTTGAAGCAACGTGGTTTGAACCTCGGACCTCGTTGATTTAGGGGTGAAAAAATGCGGGGGCTTATATTCTGACCTCCCTCCTCATCCCCATCCTCGTCCAGTTTAGCCCATCCTGGTCTGTTATGGCCCCATCCCATCCTGGTCCATTATGGTCCTTCCTGGCACATTTTCAGCCATCCTGGCCCCTTTTGGTCCTCATGGCCCATTTTGGTCCATCCTGGGTTGCCGATCACGGCCCCTCCTGGCCCGTCTGGCCCTTCCTGGTCCATTTTGGCTCATCCTGAGTGAGAAGGTGATGAAGAAAAAGAAGAGGAAAAAAGAAATATGACATTCTGATACACATTGTATGATTTCCTTGTAAGCATACAGTGAGTGTATGTGAATGGCGTACAGTCAGTGTATGCGGCATGGTTTGATTTTGGACTCTGTATAGATAAGTGAGAAAATGCGGGGGTCATCTTTCTTCCTCCCGCCCCCTCCTTCCCCCCCGTCCTTCCCCTTTTGATCGGGGTACAAATTTGTGAAAAAAATAAATCAGACCGAAATGGTTGGCGGCGTTGTGTGCATGCATGCATGCCACGTGGAACGTGGTTTGAAAAGCTTGTGATCACCTTATGCAAGGACTTTTTCGATTTCTCTTAGACATCACTTCCTTAATTAATTGTAATGATTTTCGTTATCCTCCTGATCAGTGAATTTTGATTTTCCCACGACAACGGTCCATTATCAGTCCACTTCTTTTGTTTCACAATTTATAATCGTAAGCGTACTCGATAATTTATTGTATGCCATGATGATGATGATGATGATGATGATGACACATTTGGTGATGATGACAGCATCATCATCGTCATCATCGTCATCATCATTGTCATGATCATCCGCGTCGTGATTGTCGTCCTTATCAGCCTCATCATAATCGTCATGGATTATCGCCCGTTTATCGTGACGATTATGCCTAACTTTTAGCCTCCACCCGAGGAGACTACTACGTACGTCTCTGCGGAATGTTATGCCTTGTATCCTCCTTGAGATGCATTACACGGCACAGCCTCAGAGCCTGCTGCTGCAGCTCTCTCTCCGTCGGCCACTGAAATGTTCTTGCTAGAATCTCTCTCTCTCTCTCTCTCTCTCTCTCTCTCTCTCTCTCTCTCTCTCTCTCTCTCTCTCTCTCTCTCTCTCTCTCTCTCTCTCTCTCTCTCTCTCTCTCGCTAGCTTGCTCGCTCGCTGTGTACCTGTCTTACATGTGTATGTACTTTCGTGGTCTTTGATTGGCTGTGAAGTTTAGTATTGTCAGACATTCTAAAAAGGACGGGGGAATTTAAAATATGAGTTTTGTGCGTTTGCAGGGGCGCCTATCCTACACTGAAGAATTTCTGGTGGGACGCTTGCACCTGAAGACGATGATTTCCTTGACACTGGGGCCGCCAAGTGTGAGGAATGTGTCCTCATGGGGCCCTAGCCAACATCTACATATTCTGAACTGTGACCCCCAGCAAGCCTCGGGCGGGCCCGAATATGCACGATACGCCTTTGTCTTGGCATTTTTGAATATGGGTATCACACAGCTGCAGCATGCCAGTCAGTTGAATTGCAACCCGGGCCTCTCCCTGGCTCCTTCCAGAAGCAGCAGCTGTGTCAAGCAGTTGAGCCCAGGATGCAGGTGGTTGCACCCTGGGTGCACACAGTGTGAGGCCGACACATCACAAGTGGCCGTGGGCCAAATGAGAATGCAGCATTGTCGTCACACCTACCCTGCGGGCCAATGCAAACACGGCAAACACTTGGAGCCTGGAGGCAACCTGAAGGTGCCCAACCGCAGAGGACCCAGGCCCTTAACTGTAGGAATGGGCCTGGATGCGGACACTGGGGCCCGATCGGAAGCTACTGGAAACTTCCTCGGCCAGGCCTAGGCAGCCCAGCAGGGCAGCTACTCCCATATAGGGAGGAGGCCGGCCGGAGGCTGGCATTCTGGCCTAGGCAGGCAATGCAGACATGCTGCTGCATTGCTGCGCAGGTGTCTGCATTAGCGCATGCTGGCTGGGGCGCAAGCAGGCACTATGAGGTGACGGGTGCTGCAGGGCAGCGCGGTGCTGAACGGCCATAGCCGGGCTGCAGGGATGCAGGCAGGTGATGGGCGACGGTGGTCTTTAGGGAAGGAGGGGCATGAGTGAGTGGAGAAGGTCTGATGAGGGGAGAAGAGAGAACGTACCTGGTATATGCGGGAGGTTGGCATTGGGGTTGATGTCGTATACATTGGTCTTCGATGACGAAGAGATCCTCTTGCACGAATGTAGATAGGATAGATAGGCTGAGTAGAGTAGGTTGGGCGCTGGGCTCCATATAGTAGGAGTGACCTTGGATACTGCGTTGGTGTGGCACGAGGACTTGGACATCGGCTCACGAGTTCATTGTATTGCTCTTATGTGGACGGAATCTTGGTACATGACTATCTGAACTTCTGCGTGATTTTGCAACTTACTATCTGGACTTCTGCGTGATTTTGCAACTTGTTTTTTTGTCTATCGCTCTCGCTCATATTCCGTGCAATAGGGTATCGGAGCGAGGTTCGAGATCGCCATTATCGTGCGCTGGCGACATTGTTACTTGGTGCGCTAGCGACGCTTCTTTGCTGTAAGGATACTTTGGCACTAGCATAATTAGCCAGTCCTGGGTACAGGGGAGTTGGCTGGAAGGTTGGCACAGTGTGGGAGTTGTGGCGACAGTGGATGTATGTGTGATAATGAGAGCATTCTGATGTGGCATTTTGGCTGAGGTGGCATTGCATTGTGTTGTGGGTGGTATTGAGGTTATGACCGGTCATCAAAATGCACGTTGGCTCAATTGGTGAGAAATTTGTGGTTGGGGGCAAGCTATCTCCAGGTACATTGTTCCCTTACCTTATCTTCCCTCTCAGTCTCTTCTTACCATGAGGAAGTGAGTTCAACTTGAGGGTCCTCTTTTGAGTAAGGAGTTGTGAGCGCTCTACCTTGAAAAACAAAATTTTTCCGGTGGTGCATTTGGAAGGAGAGGGCGGTGCCTCTGAAGGGCCTTGGTCGAAGCACGAGTCACTTTCACCATGCCAACCCATGGGAGTAGTAGTGCATCTGGTACGAGAGGGTAGTGCCTCTGAAGGGCCCTGGTTGAAGCCCGGGCCGCTGTTACCATGCCAACCCATGGGAGTAGGACACGCAGGACATGTTCCTTTGTTCTTTGAAGCTTTTCATTGCGCCAGTAGAGGAAATGTGGACTGACCAGTCCTTTGCAGACGCTCACCAGACTGTCTTTAAATATTTCTAGCGGGCTTCTGATCTGAATACTTATTGTGATCGTCGATCTGTCTGCGGTGTTAAATTATTCTTAAGGACCTTGGGGGTTATCCTTAAACTGCCTCTTGATCAGCCAGATCAATCATACGTAAGGCTTGTTGCTCGCGAGGGAAAATAAAGCGTCTTTAGGATGTATCTGGTAAAGGGTATCCGGATTGCATCTAGTTTGCTGTCCATCGAAGCATGCATGGAAGAAAGAAGAAAAGTCCACAAAAGTGGATAAAAAAGGGTAATCGATCGATGATGGTTGATTCTGATGGGAATCAAACTGAGATCGGCGATTATTCCGACCTAGTGGACGAGACAGAGTTTGGAAGTAAGGACAGTGTTGAGGGTAGCAACCTTGCTTCATTGGTAAATGTTAAGACAGGTGGTCGCAGCAAGGGCGGCCAACAGAAGAGTCAAGGGTAGACTCAGAAAGCAAACAAGACTCT